AAACAATCCCCGAGGTTAACCAGAGGAGCTTTGTCTGCACGAGAGCAAGACTTGTAAGCTGTAGCTGCAGCTAAAATCTGAGTATGAGCAAGTCCACAGATTTTGGGCCAAATTATGGACAGCCTTGGCCATAAGATACTGGGTGGAGAATATTCACACAGGATCCTTAGAGGCAAGAAACAGAGGAGACTTCCAATAATCTGGTGCACTCAAAACCATATCCAAAAGGAGAAAACGGCTAAGCCCTTGTGTTAGAATATGATATATGTAATGAAATGCTTTAAGACAGGGCTGCATAAAATTGTAAACGTTAAGTTGTTAATCTTGTTTATATGAATCAAAATGGCGGATAACACCATTTTGTACTCAAACCATCCCTCAGCATCTGTTAATAACATAAGTTGTTTTTGTCTGGTTAAGAAGAAATGGTCAACATGAAATGTTGAAGTAAGACAACCATTGGCCTTGGGAGGATAGAAGCTGTTTTGTAGTCAAAACACCCGGTTCTTGGATAAACAGAAGTAACAGCACGCTTGACTCTTTGCGCAACTGTGAAAGGCCTACGTGCCCGATAATTGATTGGATGAACAAAAAGGTATAAAGTTGGAAGGTTATTGACATAAAGCAGTAGATTTGGCAGGAAACCCAGGCACACAGAGGCGGAGGGCCAAAGCACGCTGACTGCTCCAGAACCGGAGAGTATATTTTTATGTATTCTTGCTGTGCTTATATTTGAATAAACTGAGTTAGCCACAAAACTTTATTGTCTGGTCTTTTGACTCGAACACTGGGAGTTGAGATCCCAACACTTACCCGCATATGGAGTGGAACTAACATATCTGTTGATCTCTAAGCTCATCCTCAATCAACAAATTGCACACAATTTATTATAAAAACGCGAGCTCAATTTATAGTTGCACAACAGAAACACCAACCTGTTAACACGAGACATGAATGCACATGCCATAAGCATTAGTGTAAAAAATCACGCCAAATTAGGAAAAGAAATATTCATTCAAGTTGTTCACCAAATAGCTTTAGCACATATTAAATACTAACTACAATAAAGTTACCAACGATACATTTGAGAATACTTAAAACTGCTCCTTGTCATAGCACTCCAGATCCAAAAAACATTTGAAGGCTTGCATTCAAATCACATTTTTAGTGCTATTCACTAAACATACCCTTAAAGGTAGCCTCAAAACCTGTGCAAGAGCTTAAGGTATATACAGCCATCAATCCTTTTTCTAATTTCTTTAGGATTTTGCTTTCAGTACTGACTAGTTGGGCCGATTGGCCTGTTTCTGTGCTATTTCCCTCTATGCAGCTCTGTGACATTGCTAAACCAGAATAAAAGGCCGCGATGTAGAGGGAGAAAATACTAAAATTTAAAACAACAAACGTAGCCCTTTAGTGTCATTGCAGCTAAGTAAAGAGGAAAATCAAGTAGTTATCACTTAGTTCAGTGTTCTCTGAATCCAACAATTGTGTACATTAACTGGTTTATTCAGTGTTTCTATCACAGGGAACAAATCTCTTAACTCACAGCAGTTCAGTAATGAGGAGCAGGAACCCGTTCTACATCACACACTTTAACCAAATGTGTGCAGAATGCTGAGATCTGGTGTTAAGTTTTTTTTAAATTATAATGAAATATCCAGTGGTATGCAATTAGCACTTTAACATAAAGCAAATGCTAAATTCAGAAACCAATCTATGTATTTTAAAAATACAACATGGTTGTTTGCTGATTATCCTTAAAACAACAGGAAAACATTAAATGATCAAAGAGCTGGTTTAGGCCAAGTGGAAGATCTTTTTGGAACAAGATGAAGTGCGGTCTGGTTACTACTGTAAAACTTGCAGTCTGATCTGTATAAATCGTATAATCGCCTAATTCATACATCTGCACAGGTACCATTCAAGAGTTTATATTCTATGCAAGTTTGACAAAATTCATACTTTGCATACGTCATAACAACAACAACAATTTGGATTTATATAGTGCCCTCCATGCTGGACGGCGTCTCAGAGCGCTTCACAGTAATGGATCCTGGGGCCGATCCAGGGGGAGGGGGAGGAAGGTGACCAAAGGCGCGGTCGAAAAGAAAGGTCTTTAGCTGAGACCTGAAAATAGAAAGAGAGGGGGTGAGGCAAAGGGCGTGAGGAAGGGAGTTCCAAAGCGAAGTGGCTGAAAGCACGGCCGCCGATGGTGGAGCGGAGGATTCGGGGGACAAGAAGGAGGCCAGACCCGGTGGAGCAAAGGCAATGGGCACTGTTGTGAGGAGAGAGGAAGTCAGAGAGGTAGGGGGGTGCAGAGGAGTGGTGGGATTTGAAAACAAGAGTGAGGATCTTGAAGTCGATCCTCTCTGGGACAGGCAGCCAGTGCAGTCTGGCAAGGACTGGGGTTATCGGGGAGCGGAGTTTGATGCGGGTAAGAATGCGGGCGGCAGAATTCTGGATGACCTGGATTTTATGAATGGTAGAGGAGGGGAGACCGGCGAGGAGGGCATTTGAATAGTCCAGCCGAGAGGTGACAAAGGCAAGGATCAGGATTTCAGCGGCTTTTGAGGTGAGATATTGGCGGAGATTAAATGTATGGTCCCAATTTATGTAAATACAGTTTTGGAAATAACCTGAAAAGACTTACGCAAAGGTTTAGATGAACCAGTGGGATTTGATCAATTTTAAACAGGCATCATTACAGCATATGTAGAGCTTTAGACCACACTGGAATGATGATTAGTCACAACAGCAAAGACAAAATGTATAAAGAGAAGAGCGTGTCAGCACAAGATTCTAAAGCAATACTTGTATGGTCCTGGGGTGGGGAGGGTAATGCTACAAGTGTTTGTTGCCAGTCAAGGTAATATTAGTCACATTCACAACTAACTTCCTGACCTAATGCCTATGAATTAGTCAGAGTCTCAGAGGAAAATGCAGTAGTTAAAGAATAAATGCAAGCATTTTGCTTGAACAAACCAAGCATTTGGTTTCGGTAAAACATTCTCTTTTTTTGAAAAATAAGACAATAATAATCCTTGCATTTGATATAGCGCTTTTCATGTCTTCAAGACATCTCAAAGCACTTCACAGAATATACTGTGACGTGAATTGACTGTATTTTTGTAGGCGAAATGCGGCCACCAATTGCACACAACAGTGTCCCACAAACAGTCGTGGATTGAAGTGACCAATTTTATTATTGCTTTTTTTCTTGAGGGACTATTATCAGGCGTGTGGAGTAAGGAAACTTGCCCAAGGTTTCATCCTGCCGGGAATCAAACCACGCCTCTCACTCGCAAGGCGAGTGCTCTAACCACTGAGCCTCAAGGCTCCTAAATGGTCAACAAATAGTATTCTACAGGATAATGATATTGGTATTCTCACCATCCATAAACAGAAGACCAGAGCATTACAAGATCAAGGCTGCCACAGTATACAAGTCAACTCTCACACACACTTAACATCCTTTTCTATCACCATTAAGGAGGCACAAATGGTAGAACTTGTGCCTGTTTAGCATCTGAATTTGCAGATGGATATATAAAGCCCAGAAAGCAAATGAGTTGTTTAAGAAAAAGTAGACACAAGAGTTAAAAATAAAGGTCAAAGACAGCAAAGGGTGCATTTTTATAGGGATGAGGGAAGAACTACTGTAAATAAATTGGAAGGATAAGTTTTACAAAGAAAACTGTAGATCAACAATGAGAGATTTTCAATTGTCAGATGGGAAATGCAGGAAAGGTAAATACCCTTCTAAATCAAAGGTTGAGTTCAAAACTGGAGTGTTATGGGATTAATAATGAAGGGTTACAATACAGGTAGCAGTGGTCTGATGTCTCTTCGATGCCGAACATTTCAGTTTCTGTGTTTCTAGGTAGTTATTGGTGATTTTGTTTAAGCAATATGACTTGGTTTACACTTACATCAGGTCTGCAATAAATTGTATGCAAATCTCAAAGCAGATGTTGAAAATTAAAAGGGACAGAAAAATCTGAAATGGAAACAGATAATTCTGGAAATTCACGGCAGGTCAGTTAGCATCTGAAATAATGTTTCAGAAATTTCAGCAGGATTGCTAGACTGGGGAAAGGCTCATGTGTTAAATGAGAGTCAGCTGATTGTTCCAGTTCTGATAGAGGATCAAATCTGAAACGTTAACCTTCTTTTCTCTTTCACCTGCCAGTTGACACATTGTGGACTTCCAGCATTTGCTTTCATTGGCACAACACATGTGTATCACGTAAGTAAGTTGCTCTTGGATACTCTCTGAGCATTTTACAACACACACTACCGCTTTATGATTCTGTATGAGAAAAGCAATTCCATAACAACCAAAACTAGCAACAATTCGGAGAGTTACTGCGATGTGGAATGCCCTGCCAAGTAAGGTGGTAGAGGTATCATGGGGTTCAAGAGGGAAGTGGACAAGTATATGGAGGATAGAGGCTTGAAGGTGTATGAGGATAAGACAAGGCAGTGGGATTGAATGAACACCTTGTTCTGAGAGTTATGAAGACTTGGTGGGTCAAATGGCCTCCTTCTTTGCTGTAAAACTTTGGAACACGCTATCAATCCCTCAGCCTTCCCCTTCCTTCCCCATTTTCAGATCACAACTGGTTGCGATCAACTCCCCCCTGACCCCCACCTCCCCAGACAGCTCGGTGTCAGGCTCCACCACAGTTCCAAGATGTTACCCCGCATAAATGGAGCTATGTAAATCAAGTTGTTATTGTAAAATTTCTACGATTCTAACAAGACCAGATTACAGCAGATAGCAGATAGCAGACACAATTGTGCTGTGGTGCTCTAAAAATTGTGCTCCGGCTATCATAGTCTCCAAGCATTGACTATCGTTAGGAGCAACAGTGATTAATACGGATTGTAAACCAAAGAGCACAGCACCAGTAAAAAGAAAATGCTGAAGCCAAATACCTCATAGGCTGTTGAAAACTAGATATTCTACTAAATTTGAAGCATTCTAGCATATAACCCTTTCTCAGAGAACTGAAGCAATTCTGCCTTCCCTCTTCACTTTTTTATAATACACTTAACAAACTGCCTAGAGATCATCCACTCCTTCATGAAACAATATTGACATTTTGCCCACGGGTTTCTACCGATCTCCACAACCAGATGTATTCAATGTATAATATTCTGTACCAGCCGAATGAATTTCAAAATGCTAAAACAAATTCCTACCCTTCCGATCCCATTTGTCCTGGAAAAAATGCATTCAAACCAAAGCGTAGCAAAAAGCCCCATGTCCTCCACTTCAACCTATTCCGTTCTTTAGGTACAAATAACACACGAGCCACCGTATTCGACCATAATATCTGTAACAGCAGAGAATGCTAGGGAGGCACACGGAAACCCATTCTGTAACAATACCTGTGGACGGAGGAGGTGCTGATCAGAAAAAAAAAACAATAGTCCTTTCCAGTCTTGCACGCTCCTTTGCTCCTACCACAAACAAGAAACATTTCAAGGCATGTCAGAGGTTTTATAAATTGCGAAACTTTTAAACCCCTGAATTAGCACTGTCCACTAAGCCCTAAAATAAATCAACTAAAAACATGTCAGTTGATTCGTATAAACTACTTTAGATTTAATAGAAAAATATACCACATAAGAACGCTTCTGTCCTTCCTTTGCAATATACAAAGATAAGGCTGAGTTCATATTTCCACCTTATAAACAGCAGTGTACAACTCGACTACAAAATGGCACAACATCAAAGAAAGAAGACAATAGCTTCTTTTAAAATTGTGCCGAGAAATTTACAAAAATGATTACACTCGTCCATTTACCAATATACAGTAGTTCAGACATCTGGCTTTCCCTTTATATTAAAACCAAAGTTCAAACCATTAAAAATGGTCTTATTTTAGTGTATTTAAATTGCTTTTTAGAAATTGAAAAAAAAGTAGCTTTAAATCCAAAGTACAGAGAGTTTGGATACAACTCATGTCCTTTGCATTAAAAATTCTTTACAAGAGCAACTCCCCTCTGCCCCCTTCCTGGTAGGTTTTAAATCTGATCCACTTCAGGGATTGAATTACTTGTTTTCTGGGTCTTGAACATTTCTCAGATCTGGTGTTGGATGCACGAGGAGGGAAGTAGAGCCCTTAGTGCTGCTGGTGCGGGAATAGTTGGGAATGAGGTGACGGCCACTCAGGAGAGTGTGTTCCTCAATGAAGTCACCTCTTGGTGTCAATCTACATTGGACAAAAACAAAAGCACAGTAACAATTAAATCCACACGCAGACTACAATAAGAATATCAGACACCGCTTCACATTGAGGTCTCGGGAAGAACATGATTCGTAACTTGCGCAATCATTTCCTAACTCAAAGACCTTCTGTAAATGTTTAACAATGTAATGGATAAAATTCATTCCCACCAAATAAATTGAAGGCAGCCATTCTTTGGCACACTTATCTTGGATGTAGTTTGCTGCAAGTGCAAAACGCAGAAAAAAGCATTTGTTTTTACCGGCCATCTGCGACCCGCTGGATGCTATTGGACTGGTTGCTTATTCGGCCGGATGTGCTTCCACCCTTACTTCTTTTCTCCAGATCAGCAGGCAGCCCTCGCCCCTGCAAACTAAGGGTTGCTTGTTCCTGAGTAGAGATGTCCAATACAGAAGGATTATTGGGTAAGAGAGTACGGTGTTCACTGATCTTATGGGTGGGGGCTTCAAGGAAAGGTTTAGCTTCCGAAAATGTCTCTTGGCTGAAGGATTCGTGATTAGACGTAGGTAGGGTTGATGTGTCGTGGTTGGCCATGCCAGTCGTCGAGGTCCCCATGGACTTGGAGATGACTTTCAGCTTGTGGGAACTTGACTTGTAGTGTTTCTTTTTGTGTTGCACTTTAGAATTGTGTTTCAAGAAAAACTCACAAGACTCCTGTAGCACTCTCCGGCTTTCACTTATAGGGCTGAGGGGGGGAAAAAAGAAAACGCAGTAAGAGTAGTTTTGATTGAAGCCAATCACTGAAGTTGAAATTTCAACATTTCCAATGCAGATACTTAACACAGCATTAGTTTTATATTTAAATCCCCTTTTTTCTCTCCACAGCCCCCCACCCCCATGAACTCTATTTCTTGATCTCTATCTGCGAGGCAGTGAGAACACACTCCAATTCCATCGCCAAGCAACCTGTGGAGGAACCCACATCTCTGACACAGATCCTGCTCATAGCAATGACTTGATGCACCAAATGACCTCCACCAGTGTAAAGGCAACCAGAGTCCCTATCATTTCACTATTGCTAGCCAGCCCTGTCCAACTCAAGCACATTTAATGAAGTTAAAAAAAACTGCCCTTACTCTCTCTTGCGAGCTTTATGAAAGAAGTTGGCCCACTCGGAACACGTCTTTCTACTGCCAACCCAGAAGACTGCCGGGATCCCGACGATTAGTGTCATCAAATACTTCATCATAAACAGAGACAAGTCAGGCCTGGTCAGAGTTTTTACCTGGAACATACAAAAATACAATTACTGGATCTCAATAGAGAATAGAGATGGGGAGGGGAGAAAGAAGAAAATACAAAGACAGATTAATAAAGTACCGAAAAACAAACCAGCCACATGTATTTTAGCCAAGGTGAATAGCACAGGTAACCAGTGTTGCAAAGTGCAATACCTAAGATAAATTATTGGAGAGTGCAACACGGTGAATGACAATTAACTTTCAAAGACTACAGATGCTAGCGCTGAGACATTCCTTTTGCTCTTAAGTGCAGCAATTTTGACAAAGTGCCATTACAGGATTCTCACACTATCAGAACCCAGCATCAATGTCACTTCTGTCAGCAGTGAGAAGGGTTCCAGGGTTAAGAGGGAAAACAGCAAATGAAAATCATAGAACTTCTCAGTACAGAAGGAAGCTATTTGGTTCATTGTGCCTTTCCCTGCTCCCTGTAAACAGTGTTTAGTTCCACTCCCCAGCCTTCTTCCATACCCTTTTATACTATTCTTTTCAGAAGTTTGTCCAATTCCATATAACATTTATTGTGGATTCTGTTTCAGCCATCATTTTTGGAGTAGGGCATTACATATCCTAATAATCATCCGTTTAAAATAATTTTCCTAACCAACCTTTTGTGTTTTTGATATTGATCTTAAATTAATGCCTTCTATTTATCAACTCACCAATCAATGGAAATGGCTTCTCCAAATTTACCTTATCAAAACCCTTCATCATTTTGAACATCTTTACCAGGTCACTTGTCAACTTGTTTTGTTCTATTGAAAAGAACTGTATTGTCTCTAGTTTCTTACAACTAAACCCTCCCACCCCGGTACCATCCTCTGAACTCTCTCTACAGTCTTCACATTTTTGGCAATGTAAGATGTTCAAAACTAGAAACGATACCCCACACCCTAAATAATGACAGATTTTTTCTTTCACATTCTAAGTTAACCCTGCTAGGAATTATTGTCAACATACAGAATAACCTTAAGGGTCCCAAATGTCCTTAGTTATAGATGAGGAAGAATACTATAAAAGGATCTGGGTAAAGAACAGGTGTACGTTATTGGAGTTGAGAGCTCCAGTGGGGTTGCTAACACTAACAGTCATGATGGATTGAATGGTCTCCTGTGATGTGAGGTTTCCATTATTTCAACACGATGTAAAGAGCACATAGTTTACAGCCCATCTCCAAGAGCTGCATCTGGAATGTGTCCTTGGAGTATGTGCAATAGCTTTATGGGGTTTAAGACTGGAGAGGGGAAAGAGCTAAGCTCCTCTTCAGTCTGTGATACAATAACGTTTAAAAATGTTCAGTTATATAAAAAAAAGTTAAAAATGAGTCAGAAAATCAGTACGTGGAGTATTTTTCAGACATACAACAACAACAAGATTCCATTTATAAAGCGCCTTTCACGTCAGGAGGACGTCCCAAGGCGCTGCACAGTTGGGTCATGACCCGAGCAGGGGGGAAATGGTGAGGGGAGGGAAGGGAGGGAGCGAGGAGGGGGAAGAGAGTCGAGAGGGGAGCTGAAGGCACGGTCAAAGAGAAAGGTCTTGAGACCGGCCTTGAAGGAGGAAAGGGAGGAAGCGGCGAAGGCACTGGGGGATGGAGTTCCAGAGCCTGGGGGCTGAGAGGCTGAAGGCCCGACCACCGATGGTAGGGCGGTTGGGGCGGGGGACGTGGAGCAGACCGGAGCCGGAGGAACGGAGGGTACGGGCAGGTAGGTAGGGGGATAGTAGGTTGGAGAGGTAGGAAGGAGCAAGGCCGTGAATGGCATTATAGGTGAGGATGAGGATCTCAATAATATCTCAATCCTCAATAAGTACCATATAATGAATTCGATCCTCTGGGGGATGGGGAGCCAGTGGAGGCGAGCGAGGGTGGGAGTGATGTGGTCCCGAAGCCTGGTGCGGGACAGTACACGAGCTGCAGAGTTCTGATAAATTAACAACAAATTAACCCCACAAACAGATGACCTGCAGCTTGTGGAGGGAGGTGCCGGGAAGGCCGGCGAGGAGAGAGTTCCCATAGTCCAGCCTTGAGGTGACAAAGGCGTGAACCAGGGTTTCAGCAGCGTGAGGGGTGAGGTAATGGTAAGGTAATCAAAGGTAATCTTGGAGGCCAAGGACAACCCCAGGCTTCTCTTCTCCACTACCAACCAGCTCTTCCATCTACCCTCTCACTCCTCACCCATCCTCTCCTCCAACTCCAAATGCGAGGAGATGCTGGATTGCCTCAAATCCAAAATCGAGGGGATCTGTTCAGCCATCTCCGCCCTCCCAACCACCACTACCTCCCCATCTCTCCCTCACACCCCAGCCCCTACCCACACTCCCTCCACACCCCCAAACCTATCTCCCCTTCTTTCTCACCACCATTGTAACCCGCATGAAGCCCACCACCTGCTCCCTCAACCCCATCCCTACCCCTCTCCTTACCTCCCAACTCCACATCCTTGCCCCATCACTCTTAGACCTCATCAACCTCTCCCTGTCAACTGGCACCATTCCCAACCCCTAAAACAGTCATCACCCCTATCCTAAAAATAACCTTCCCTGGACCCATCCCTGCTCACTAACTACCGCTCCATCTCCAACCTCCCTTTCCTTTCCAAAATCCTTGAAGAGTTGTTGCTTCCCAGCTTCACTCCTTCCTCTCCTGCCACTCCCTTTTACAAACCTCTCCATTCGGGTTTCCATGCTGCCCACAGCATCGAAACGGCCCTGGCCAAGGTGACAAATGACCTTCTCTCCATCTGTGACCAGGGCTCCCGTCTCCTCGTCCTCTCTGCCGCGGACCATTCTATCTTTCTCCACAACTCCTCACCTTAACCGTTAAGATTCTGTCCTTGATTGGTTTAGATCCTATCTCTCACACCAGCTCCACTTTGTGTCCACAAATGGCTTCTCCTCCAGTCCCCGCACCGTCTTGCACGGTCTACCTCAGGGATCTGTCCTCAGTCCTCTTCAACCTGTAAATGCTCCCTCTTGGTGATATCATCCGCAGACATGGGGTCAACTTCCACATGTACGCGGATGACACCCAACTCTATCTCATTTCCTCCACCCTTGATTCCAGGAGCACTGCTGTCCTGTCATACATCAAGTCCTGGATGAGAGCCGACTTTCTACAGTTGGAAGTCAGCAAGACTGAGGATCTCCTGATTGGCTCACGCCAGCACCTCCGCACCTCAGGATCTGGCAGCATCAGCATCCACGAATGCACTCCACCTCACCAAGCCAGTCAGAAACCTGGGCGCCTTGCTCGACCCTCAACTGTCCTTTCTCCCCCACATCTGTGCCATGTCTTGCTCTGCCTTCCACCACCTCTGCAACATTGCCCAACTCTTCCCTCCACAAGCTGCAGATCATCCAGAACTCTGCAGCTCGTGTCCTCTCCTGCACCAGGCTCCGTGACCCCATTACACCCACCCTCGCCCGGCTCCACTGGCTCCCCATCCCTCAGAGGATTGTGTTCAAAATTCTCGTCCTCACTTTCAAGGCCATCCATGGCCTTGCCCCCTCATACCTCTCCGACCTGCTAACCGCTTATTAACCTGTCCACTCCCTCGGCTCAGCAGGCTCCGGCCTGCTCCATATCCCCCGCTCAGCCCGCATCATCATCGGTGGTCAGGCCTTCAGCCTCTTTGCCCCCACCCTCTGGAACTCCATCCCACATTCCCTTTACTTCGCTCCCTCCCTTGCCTCCCTCAAGGCACGCCTTCAGCACCCTCCTACCCTCTCTGCCCTAACCCTCCCTGATCTCAACTCCCCCCACTCCGCTCGGGTCCTAATCCGACTGTTCAGTGCTTTAGAAATGTAATTTTGCATTGTATCCTGAGCCTGGACTTACCCAGGAGAGGTGAGTAGGGTGCATCTCTGGGGAGAAAGTGTGCACTCAAATATAAACCATCCACAAATAGAACTCTTAGGCTACACTGGATCATCTTAAACACGATTACACACCAGGGAATTATACACGGAAAAAAAACAAAATGCTGCAAAATTACACTCTTCCTGTTGCTCTCTGCACTGCCTCACACAGCCTCTGGCGAGTAACTGGAAGAAAGGGAGGTCCGATTCATAAATAAACACAAAAATGTGCAATATATAAATATGAAATTTATGAAAACTGGCCTCCATATATTTCTATAGAAGCTACAATAGTACAATTTAAATTGTAAAAAAAAGTGAAAAAAGGGTTAAGTTTCTATTATTTTCAGATTCTGGTTTAGTATATTCCAATGCATTTATTAATGAGAGTAACTGAAGAAGATGAACAAATTACATTGATATGGTGCCCTTCGTATCAGAAACACATCTTAAATTGCTTCACAGTGGACTGGGAGCCTGAGTTTGAGGGAGGGAGGAAAGTTGTCAGTAGTACAGTTGAAAACTAATCTCAACTAACCCTAGACAAAGCATTCTGTTTGGTGGACCTGCACAGGAAAGAGACTGAAAACAGAAGCAGCTTTGAGAGGGCAATGGGTCAGTTTTACAGTGGAAACATTTTACATTTTCACCATGAGCTCATAATCTGTTAATAAAAACAGAAGAACAAAGAGCTTGCCGTTTTAACGCACTTCATCACATCAAAGCATCTCAAAGCATTTTACAGTAATTACTGTGATGTAGTGACTGTTTTTGCAGACAAAATAAAGACTAGATGATCATTACTGAGTCATTTCACATACAAAAAAATCACCATATCAATTTAGCCTGCAAAATACAGTGACTACACTTTACAATGTAACCTGTTAAGTGCTTTGAGTCGCCGTGCTGACATGAAAGGCGTTATATGAAACAAAAGGATTATCTTTCAACAGACAGATTGCTTTCAAAACAAAAATTCAGGTGGTTAATCAAGGCTCTTCTGTATTATTTTCAGCAGATTCAGAAATGTAACCAAACACTCACTAATTAAAACCTGGAGAGGCAATGAGTCCAAGGTGGTGTGAAATAAACTTTGATTGATTAAACTACTGTATATTAAATAAAAACTGAAGAGGCTACATACAGATTTTGCAATTTACTTTCATTACATGCAATGCCACAGAAATATAACTTTATACCTAGAGACATTTCAATACATAAGAATACTTGCAGAGAATACTTGATGAAACTGCACTATAAGGGTGGAATTAAATTAACATCCTAAATAGCTGTAAGTCACATACGACTTACTTCCTTACACTCTACGTACTTGCACTTAGTCTAGTGTGTGGGAATAACTGCACTTTAAAAAGCAATTTATGATATGAACTAAACTGGTCTCCTTGCATTGCACCTTTCCCTTGTGCCTCTGTTCTGTTCTTCCATTAAAGCCTCATATTACATCCAGCCTGAGGAGGAAACGGAAAAAAAAGAACGAGACTGATAACAGTCCTAAAATAAATATAAATTTTCATCAGTGAACAATTAAAAGTGCGCATGTGAAAAAATGCCAACAAAAGGTTATTGAAAATGATTACATTCTTGAGCAAACAAAATATTTCAAATACCTGGTGTTAGGTGATATGATCAGTGACCACCCATGTAGGTCCTAAAATACTCACAAAAAAGCAAGCCTTATGTGCTACCACTATCTATAACTGCAGCACTGATGAATGTTTGGGTTGGAATGAAAACGCGAACAGTATTAAAATACTGCTGGACATTGGCTGTCGCATTTATGCACAAAATGCTCCGTCACTGTACCTTATAGTACATCCTTTGAAAAGCTGAGATATCTTCCTGATGTTCATTACATGCAAGGATCATTATTATTGATCATAATTAATAAACTATTCTGGAATGCACAATTTCTTACGGTACCTGATTTGGGCATGGAATATAATAACCCTGACATTTGTCATAGATCCACGTTGTTTCCCAAGTTGTTCGGAGGGCTTGCTCATAAATATAACATCCCAGGAGAGCAACCAGAGGCACCAGGTAGAGGCCGCTGAACACACCGATTCGGATCATGAATTTCTTCAGTTTGCCCTGGTTCGGCCATCATGCTGCATCACCTGCCGCACGTGATTTAAAGAGATAATTCCGGCCAGTAGCAGGGTCAATCCCACCACCACACAGAGGCACAGGGGCATCAGGATAAAATATCGCAAAGCGTTCAGATCGTAGAGGCCGACAAAGCACACGCCGCTGATATTGTCGCCTTCAACTTTGTTCAAGGCCAGCAGCATTATAGTGAGTATTCCAGGGATTCCCCAAGCAACAGAGTGGTACCACACAGCTTTCTGCTCAATAGCTTCACAACTCCACTTCATGCCTGCAGCGAGGAACCAGGTAATGGTCAAGATCACCCACCAAACGGTTCCCGCCATGGTAAAGAAATACAACAGCATGAAAAGGACAGTGCACCCTTTGTTCTGCGCTCCTAGCACAACAGTCTCCTCGGTGCCCAGCTTCTCATCTGCCTTGTTGCATGCAATGCTGTTCCCTGAAATAAACCCAACAAAGTACATCAGCGATACGACACTGTAGCACACTGCGTAGAAGATGATCGGCCGCTCCGGGTAGCGGAACCTTCTGACGTCGATGAGGAAAGTCAGGAAGGCAAAGAGAGTCGCACACAGGCAAAAGATGGAAATGACGCCAATGAAACACTTGGCAAAGATCAGTTCATCTTCTTTGAAGTACATGTTGGAGCAAGGCGGCAAACAGTCGCTCACTCCGAGAAATGTGGCGTCGTGGCCTGCGAGGATCTTCAGTTGCTTTGGGCACCAAAAGCCATGATCCTTCACTGCTGTCTGCAGAGTCTTCTCTGTGACAGGAGAGCTTGTAACTGGTAGGACCTCAGAGCTCTGCTGGTCATTACTGCAATCCTCAAACCTTGAAACAAAAATGGCCATTAAAAATTTAATTTGGGGATTAGCATGAATGTGCTTTGCACGCAGTTTTTATGTAAAAACCTTCAATCAATTAACTCTTGGCTGAGATGAGAAACTTTGCTCCTAAACATTCGTAGTTCACACAATGACCCTGATCTGATTTTCCCTCTAGATATTCACAAACCTTGTGACACCTTCATTTCCACTGGCTACATCACTCCTACTCCATAAGAGTTGATCCACAATGGTAGCACAGGAGTAGGCTCTGTTCTCTCACAAAGATGTCTAAACATTCACGATAAATTGATTTGTGCTCTCACTTTACACTAGCTGTGCAAATTAATCACTAGAGTTGCAACAAAGCAAAATAGGGGTGGATTAAATTTCAGTACTAAATCATCTTGAATTGTGAAACAAACCTAGCAGTACAAGCGATGATATTCCTTCCAAACTTGGGAGAGGAGCTTAAGTTACACAACACTAAATTGAAGAATAACACTTGTATGTAATATAGCGCTCTTCATGTCAGGAGGATGTTTCAAAGGAGCTTGACATGACTTACTGTAAAAGTGTGGTGACTATATATTTTGTAGGAAAAAGTTGCACAAGGCACTGTCCCACAAAAAAACATTAAGTAAATGACCAATTTTATTTGGGAGATTGTTGGCCAGGATGTCGAGATAAATTCTCTGCTCTTTTCAAATTGTGTTATGCATCTTTTAACATCCAACTGAACAGGCAGAGGCAAGTTTGGTTCAAAGTCACATCCAAAGGATTTCACCTCCAACAATGTGCAGGTGCGTTGTGCAAGTCACCATGTACAAAAAGTGATGCTGACGTCCTTTGCTTCTTGTAGCCGGCAGGTGCAGCGCACAAAAGGTCACGTTAGCACCATGTATTCTGCATAGTGCGTATGAGCAGGAAATTACATCAACATATAGCTTCCTGGGCAGAGTGTGTATGCAGAAGTAATGTCAACATCAACCTGATGATCTTCAGGTCAGACATTGTTTAGCACCAGAAGTGAAGTTTCAACCTGCGGTTTAACTCAAATCCACAATAGACTTCACAATAAGGCAGAATTTAACCAGTGTTCCCTTTAATAACTAACCCTAGTGACTACACTGGTTATCGAGTGACATGAAAATAAGTAGTGCTGAATGGCTCTACCGTCTCTCTCCAATTATGAAACAGAAAAGCTAAGCGACAGGCACCCTTTAACCTTCACACAGAAAGACGTTTCCTCTCTTACCGATCACATTGAAGCTCCTCTGGCCAGGTGATTCCAAATGTGTCTATCAATTTCTCACAGTCCCGCAGAACATGCTCACAATGGTTTCTGCACGGTGGAATGATCTGAAGGCTCTCGGTACATGCTGGCACAAACGCACTGCATAAAAATGTCTTGACTTCCGGTGAACAAAGAAGATTGATCAGTGGAAGGAAAGGCTGCAAGAGGCAATGAAAATAGTCATTAACTGCACCTCAATGGATAGAAGCATTCCTGATCATCTGGGAGTCCTGTTCACTAATCAATGACTCTTATTGGCGTATGTACCCCTGAACACACACATCAGGTGAGGATCAAGACTGGCTGTGATACCCCCAGGTTGAATAACCTACCAACACTCACTAACTGGATCCATACATGAAGAATGGCAATTTGGTTGAGAAAATGCCGGATTAATACTCAGTGCATGGGTGTATAAACTGAAGGACAACGCAGAAGGTTATTGTCTGACTGATCTTTTGAAATACAAGAGAATCCAGAATTATCAGTTACATTATTTATAGCAACTACAAAATGAGTACTGTTCGGTTTAGTTTTTCCAATGGTCGAGATAGAATCATTTCTAAGAGATTTCCCAGGATTTTCAGGGGAAATTTTGTTGCTAGGATACAAAAGAAATGTAAGAAATTCAATAGTAACTTCTATTATTAACCCAAGTACTTTCAATGAAAGCTGCACTGTGTATCTGACACAAGGTTCTGATGCTTGCTCTTTGTTTGAAAAGTGAAACATTAGCTACTCTATCATGTGTTGAAAGATCTGATTAACATCACTTATACCACCAGGCTTGGAGCTGGCACTGCATACTGTACGTACCTTTTGTAGTGGAGGGTTAACATTACAGTGACAAAGCTTCCAACATTTCAATTTATTCCACTGTTGAAAGAACAACCATTTCCTCAACTCAACCTGCACCCCAGACTCCATAGCATGTCTGAAAAGTACACCAGAATGAAGAGAGCTTTCTACAGCAATGGTAATTCAAATATACAGAATAGTCATGGGTCGCAAACATGAATCAAATAAAAATATATGAGTAGAATAAATCATAGTCTGCAAAATGGTTTGTTCTCTGAAAAACAAACACTTTGCCAAGAGGATAAATATCACATTGAAGACAGAAGACTGACGTTCTAATAGCCTTGGCGTGATATCCTATCAAATACATCTGAGGGCAGTGTTCACTGGCCCACTGCCAATAAATCAGTTATTCCATTCTTTGGCTGTAATATTCAAGATTAAATCAAAATAACCACATCTGCCATTCAAATTAAATTACACCATAGGGGAGGAGAAAATTAAAAAAAGAGTGCATCTATAGCCGATTGAAATCTGAAATGGAGAGGGTCACTTGTAGACACCTCCACATATCACACACATAAGCCAATCTTACAGAGCGCACAGAATGCTTCAGTGGTCCGCTCTACAGATTTAATGTTTATTATCAGCTGGGATACCCCACATAAAGGAATTAATTAACCTATTGCCCTCCTCAAAACAATCTTTTGTTCAAGAACAGAAACAAACCAAAACAAAATACCCATAAACTGTGAAAACAAGAACCAGTCACTTTGGAAAGTCTATTCTCAGTGAACAAAGCTATTTAGAAAAAGGATTAATCCTTTCTGAGTTTGTCCTACTCTCTGTAAGAACCTAAACCATTAACCTGTGGAGAAACATAGAACCAACAATGGGGCTAAAAAAAATGTTTGTCAGCCTGTTCATGTGGATCTTAAAGATCCCATGACACAACTTGATAAGAAAAGGGAGTTTCTCCTGGTTTCCTAACCAATAAACCCCCAGATAAAATTGGTCATTCGCTTGTTGGCTTTTTTTGTGACACTGCTGTATGCAAATCCTTTCAACTACAAAATACAATCACTAAACTTTACAGTAATTCCTGTGTGTAGTTTAAGGCATCTCGACATCACAATAAAAGCATTATATCAAATTGCAAGGCTTATTATTGTCATAAGGTAATATTGTTTCCACAGGTAAAAGATATCTGGCTGAATTCTCCCTATTTGTTATGAGCAGGAAAGAATTTCACCTGTGACGCTGTAAACCAAACACAATATCAATTTACCCAAAAAATAGCTTTGACCTTCAATTTTACCGTTGCCACAGGAAACTGTTCAATGTGACTATTGACTGCTTACATTTTAATCACTTTCTGAATTTCCATTCCCTACAGTAACATGTTTTTATTGCTGAGCAAAAGAGAGGACAATTGTAGCTCACTCATTATTTAATGATTATTATTCACCTCTCAACCACCTTCTACTCCTGACTGAGCTTAAGGGGCATCTGAGACTCTAGTGGGAGAAACCTGGCAGATAACTACTTCAGCTTCAAAGTAATGAATCTGAAGCTCAGCTACTTCTTGTAAAGATTTCTACTGCTGCCCTTGATCTTAGTTCCAGCTGATCGCTCTTAGAGAAAGGACCTGAGGAGTTAAGCCTGGGTTCCATCAAACATCTGAATTAATTAGGATTATCACAAGAAAGAGAGGAAGGTTAGAAGAAATTCTTTTGCACAGATGATTGCTAGAATATGGAGTAACTTACCAGGAATGGCTGTTAAAGCTGAGAAATAGAATATAAAGTGGGAACTGAACACGCGAGGGAAATATTAATGGCTCTGGGGAAAGAGCAGGAGAATGGATTCATGTATTGGAGGAGCTAGAATTATAGAAAGTTTACAGCAAAGGCCCAGACATGAAGGGCCTTTGCTGTAAACTTTCTGGAATTCTACTTAAAAGCTAAATGATAATTTTGAATGACAGCTCTCAAAATTAGTGCAACTCACAATAAAAAAAAATTCTGATAGATCGGAACAATTTACCCAGTTTCATTTTCTCATGTTTAAAAGCTTGTTCGGTTTTGCCCTGGCTAAGCATAATGTTTAAACTTCTGGATCAACACAGCACTGTCTGCTATTAATTACCTTTTATGAAATTTAAAATGTCCTCCTTTCTTGCTTAGTTATCTCATTAGTTTCTGGTTTCCAACTGAATGCCAAGCAGTATTGTATGTGAAATACTGGGGCACTATTACTCCAGTAATATTAAGCCAGTGATATCCTGTACTCAGCTTCTAAGAATGTAACTTATCTCTGCACCTATCAATCAATCACGTGAACTCGCCAAGAACTGATGTGCAAACCACTGCCACAGCCAAAATGTACCATCCTCACTTTGTGAGTGGAGATTCTGACCAGGGGATTGCAAATACTCACAGGGACGCATTACACTTTAAACCACAGACATTAAGCGGTTTTACATAAATCGCTTTCAAAGATTTCCAAGAATTCTTCTAATCTGTCTAGCTCGGAACAAAATGAAACATCCCATCACACATTCTCTCCCTCCCCCATCCATCCGTGTAATTTTATTGTATCCGGTGTACCAACTGACTCTGCACCGTGTCAGTTACATAGAAAAGACATCTTTAACAGTGCTCATTTATAATGATATCTTACACCAGATTTTGCAGTTGACCCTTTCAAATCAAGAAGACATCACAAAGTTCTTCACAGGAAATGCAATAAAGTGCAGTGACTCCCCATATCCCTACAGGATCCTTTCTTTCAAATGCCTGTCCACCTCCCTCTTGAAAGCTACAATGGACTCCGCCTCTACCATGCTGTTCAGGAGGGTTTTCCATATCCCAACTACTCTCTGAGTGAAAACAATTCCTAAATTCTCCTTTCGCTATTCTTGCAGCGATCTTATAACTATGTCTAACCAGTTCTGGCCAGGCTCCACTGGCTCCCCATCACTGAATGGATCGACTTCCAACATCCTTTGCACTCGCACAAATCCCTTCACCTCTCCGACCTCCTCACTCCACCACCCGGCGCCTCCGCTCCACTGGCACCGGCCTCCTGCTCATCCCTCGCACCCTCTCAGTAAAGGCTAGCTCATTTGTTAATAACTGAAACAGCTATCAATTGGTGCAAATGGAAAATAAACAAGTAAATAATTCTACGCCTATAAACATGCAGCTTGGCCCATCATTAACACTGTATCCGCCATTATCTGGTTCATCTGTAGTGAAGAACTTCTGATCGCTTGGGGCGAGAATGAAATCTTGATACTCTTTATTTTAAAGACAACATTATCCTAGCCATTCACTTACTATGGGGAGGGGCAGAGCAGAAAGGAGGAAAGCACCTAATACTCTTGCTTTGTGCATATGCAATCCCATCTTCAATTTCCAAATACATATATAGGGTATTAGCAGTCAGTGTTTGTGTGGGCCACAGCAGGCAACATTATACAAGTTTAGTTCAATGGAACAAAAATCTCCACACAGACAGTATTTTGGCATGCCTTTGAGGTTTCCATGGTGAGGGCTGCAATTTATTCTCACAAACCAGTTTTCAACGGAGCAGATTCCCCACTTTATACAATCAAACAACTGGCACAGCACAGTTGCCTTTTTTTGTGTGTAAAAAAACAGCTCTAATCTTATCTGTTGCAACGTCAGAGCATTTCTTATTCAGAACGCACACAAATAGACTTATTCTGCCCAGCAAATGATTTATCTTTAAAGAGGTATATATGTCCATATAGACCTTATAGTTCCAGTTGTGCCTGGGCTATATAGGGCAGTTAAATAGATACTGCTGACTATCAACTAGAAGCTCACAACAACAACAAATTATATTTGTATAACGCCTTTCATATCGGGAGGACGCCCCAAGGCACTGGACAGTCAGAGATTTGGATTCGAGCCGGGGTTTAGGATCAGGAGGGTGAAGGGCAGGGAAGGTAAGGATAGGAGGGTGACCAAAGGCACGGTTGAAGAGGAGGGTCAAAGAGGAGGGTTCAAAACCCTCAATCCGTCACCCAAGATCCTTATCATAATGAATTGTATGTCTTTGTTGGGGATAATTTGCATGTTCTGATCAATGGATGGAGCATTCTGTTGACATTCCAAAAGTTGACCCTCCCCATCAACCCAACCATTTGTGCCAATCTGTCTTAGTTGGTAGGACTCTCACCTCGGGGTCAGAAGGTTGTGAGTTTAAGCCACATGTCAGGACTTTGAGCTTCATATCCTCCAGGCTTCATGTCTGCTCTTTTGTGTCTAAATTTCTACAGGTAACTCACAACAAGACAGAAGCTCTACTACGCAACCCTTATCAGCCTCCTCACCTCTGGCACTGATCACATTGACTGCACAAATACTCAGTCCACCTCATAAGAGCTGCTGCGGAATCTCAGTGCCTTGTTCGTTCCCCAATTGTTTTTCAAAGCCAGGCTCTTACTTGCTCAACTTTCTCTCGGGTTCGCAACATAATTCCCCTTCAATACCACTTCTCCCCAGCAGCCGAGACCCTCTTTCACACTTTTATCACTTCCAGTCTCAATTATTCAAACGCCTTGCTTGTTGGTCTTCCCTATTCCTCCCTATATAAGCTGCACACCATTCAGAACCCTGCACCCAGTGTCCTCTCTTGTACCAGGCTCTGTGAGTTCATCCCTTCATCCTCACTCAGCTGCATTGACTCACCATCTCTCAGCAGATTCAATTCAAGGAGGTAAGAAGAGAGCACAGAAAGGAACACTATACACGAGGTGACTTAAACATGAATATGCTTTTAAAGAGCAGTGGTGCTCTTTAAAGATGAGGTAAGGATGGAAGAAGGTAGTCTTGGATCAGCTCAGGATAAAGCAAAATGTCAAGGTTACACAATATCTGTTCAGCCTGAGAGAGCAGCCAGGGATGTTGATGGAATCAGAGCCAGAGGCACACAGGTGCTGGCAAGAACCAAACAAGATGGCTTCAGTCTCGTTAATGTTCACATGCAGAAACTTATGGTTTGTGCATACAAATATTTTTCCATTTCTTATTGCTGGTCATACTCCCACTCTATTTGTCTCAGTTCCCAGATCTGTTTACTTCGTCAATTCGCTTCTCACCTCCTATTCATCTCCCTCAGTTCTATGTTTGGAAAAGTACTGTGAAAGACTCAGAACTCAGGATCCACTGCATTTCCCAGTTTTTCTCCCCAGGGGCTGTTGCAGGATTGTATCCAGTTTGATCTATACAGGTTCTTTATGTAAAGTACTCCTTTGTGTAATTTTGGCACTCCCGATTAATTCTGTCTTTGGGTACCATTGTGCTGCAGACATATGCATTATACAATACTATATATAATATTCACACACCACACACATTTACTTGACTGTCTGCATATAGAAAATCATCACAAGAAGTATAACAACAATTATACAGCAAGCAGAGATCACAAAAGCAAGACTGAGGTTTACTTGTACTTTAACCAGGACATAAATTTGCACAAGTATTGTACTTGGCACTTATTGGTAGTGCTACATCTCAGTGGTCAGCACACGGATGAATCTGGACTGTAAAGCACAAGAGTTAATAATACCAGGACACATGCATCAGGAAATCTTGACCTTACTTTGTAAGGTACATCTGTATATCCTGTACATCTATGCTTCTCCTCCACTTTTCTCTCTCTCTCCCTCCACCCCTGATTTTTGGCCACCTTTAATAGTCATATTTAACGACAATGTATGGACAGTAAACTGTAACTAAGTCTTACCTCCATTGCAACTGCAGCAATGTCCTGGTCATAATGTTCCAACTTATTGGGGAAAAATGTCATGTTATATGTCAGATTCTGACACCGATAGATGGTTATGGGTTCACAGGTGAACATACTGTGACCTAGGGTCAAAGGTACTCCCAGCAGGGCTAAGAGACAGATCAAAATCAGTTCTAATCCTCTCATTGTGGGAATACAATGAACGAACTTCAGATGTATGATTAATGTTACTTTAATCTATCTTCAAGCTTTAAGAAACAGCAGGAACATCTATTTTTATTCACGCTTGACGGGTGATGTTCAACCACCTTCTTTCTTATCCTGGTACATTGCATTAACAGTAGATTGATGCACGTTACGTTCAATCGAATGCTTTTGAAATGCTAAAACTCCAAAGGCTCATTGTGTCTTCACCAAGTCGAAATTAATCCTGGGGGCAAAACAAAAACCATGTTTGAAGTCAGTGCATTACAGAACATTTGTACCCAATATTCACAACATAATCATAGACATAACTAGATGCCACTTTTTTTCCCCCTTAAAGTGTTCACATTGAAAATCCCCCACACAATGAGCTATTGTGGAGGAATTATTTCCAGTGGTCCTGCTGGGCATTGGAAACTTGTGAATTCAGATAACGTAAGTATGATGGGCAGAAGAAAATCCCTACACTGCAGGATGGAAAAAACATTTGCAAAGAATCTTTAAAAGGAATCATCATCACATTATTAAGCTGTCGGGAAAGCTACTCTTCCTCCTCTCTCCCAGCCCCATGAAAATATGCAATATTAAGATTTTGCTTGTACATGGCGTTAATACAATAACAACAACTTGGGTGTATGTGTATATATATAGCAACCTTTATGCGGGTAGTGTCTCGGGACACAGTAATATCAAACAAAATACCAAGCAATTACAGAAAGTATGATTATTTACCAGTTTATCCGGTGAGCAGTGAAGACAAAGACAAACACATGTGGCATTTGATCCCCACTTTTGAGTTTGCAAATTATCAGCAGGAGTGCAACGACTGCATTATAAGTGCCCTCTATTCTTAGGTAAAGGAGGGTGGGAAACTTTCTGCTCCTCAGTGATATAAAAAGTGCCCTCTATTCTTAGGTAAAGGGGGTGGGAAACTTTCTGCTCCTCAGTGATATAACCTATCACTTACTGCCTCTTACGCCACCTGGTTCGGATACTTTTCAGCACAGTGATGGGTTCCTACATGTATCGGACACCTCAGGAGACAGGGGAGCATTGGATTTCAGCTCGGTTTGCGCGAAATAACCTGACAATTTTTTTTATATCAAAACCCACACATGACCGATGGCTACTTTGGTGAGCTATCAGCAGGAGGAACCGCTCGTGGAACCCTACCCCGAGTCAACGGTGCTTCGGGAGGTCCTCCTGACATGAAAAACGTATTGCATTGTGCAGAAAAGAAATTAAAGAGGCATTCATTTTTTTTGGGGGGGGGTGGAGGAGAGAGAAAATTTGCAAGGAAATTGAGGTGCATTGTAAAAAAAAATTTAGATGTGAAGTTAACAGCATTTGTGTGTGTGTGGGGGGGGGGGGGGAGAGTGGGGGGGAGTGAGAGAGAGAGAGAGAGAGAGAGCACATTACTGACCTCACTGTTGTTACAAGAGTTACTCAGTGTTACAACACAACACTGGGCGATGGTGCTGCAGTGAAGTACTCCGAGTTACTCCCGATTAAGTGCTGAGGCAGAGGCACTGCCTCCTCCCAACACAGGCACAACCCGCCCGGGCCGTCCCCACAGGAGCTGCTGCTGCCCCCACACACACACCCCACACACCCTCACACACACACACCCACACACACACACACCCCCACACACCCTCACACACACACACACACACCCCTTTGGGATTGAAGCGAGAGCCGCGGCTCCTCCCTCCCTCCCTCCCTCCCTCTCGGGGCCCCGAGCAAACACACAGCGAGGAGAGGAGAGGCCACGCACACACACACCAACCAACCAACCAACCAACCTTGTGGGGGGTCAAACAGCCGCGGAGAGGGTTGAAGGCGCCGCTTTGCAACGAGGGAAGCGACAGCGTTACCCACAACGCTCCCCCTGAGTGAGGGAGTGAGTGAGGGAGTGACTGAGCGGCTGTAACCTGTTGCTGCCGCTCGCGGTGCAGGAATGGAATCCCGGCCCAGATCTCACCCCACAGGAGCGGAGCCGCTCTCCCCCCCACTCCCCCACCACACCACACCACAACCCAACCACCAGGGGCGCTGCTGCTGCTGCTGCTGCTGCTCCTCATCTCCAACAACAACAACAACAACACGAATGATGACAACAATTGTGCATTTGACCCAGCGCCTGATCACGCCCTTCTGCGCGTCTCAAAGGCGGCTTCCCGGCACATACCGTGAAGCGCGTCGACTGTGAATTTGACTGTACGTTTTCTCACAGTTACAACAGCGAAGCTCAACTGTGATAGTTACTTGGGGAGGACACGTTTGCAGGGCAATGGGGAGGGAGCGGGGTCAGTGGGATTGATTTGGGCAGCACTTTTCAAAGAGCCGGCACAGGCACGATGGGCCGAACGGCCTCCTTCTGTGCCGTATGATTCTACGATTCTATGGTCCGCCGCGGATCTGTAATGCCAAACGGTATTTACCATCCGAAATACAAAAACAAAAATGCAAAATCGAAACTGGTTGTGAAATGCAGATTTCTTTCCGTGCCATCTGAAAAAAGAAAAGGAGTCCTGTGGCTCAGTGGTTAGAGCACTCGCTTTGCAAGTGAGAGACCTGAGTTCAATTCCAGGCAGAGGGCGAAACCTTGGGCAAGTTTCCTTACTCCACACAGAGCCTAATAATAATCCCTCCAAAACCCAAAACAATAATAAAAATTGGTCATTTTCAATCTACGACTGTTTGTGGGACATTGCTGTGCGCAATTGGCTGCCGCGTTCACCCACAAATATACAGTCAATTCACTTTACAGTGTGTTCTGTGAAGCGCTTTGGGACGTCCTCCCGATGTGAAAAGCGCTATATCAAATGCAAGGGTTATTATTATTATTAAAAGGGTAGTTTGACAATTTTTTGGTCTAAACCGTTCACCAGACCCTTTGAGCTTTCCAAGGAGGTCTGTGCTTTCTCTTTCCGATGCTGAATTCCAAACGTATGTTNAAAAAAAAGGCAAATACTGCAGATGCTAGAAATCTGAATTAAAAACACAAGTCACTGGGAACATGCAGCAGGTCAGGCAGCATCTATGGAGAGAGAGGAAAGTGAGTTAACATTTCAGCTTGATGACCTTTCGTCAGACTGATGAAAGGTCATCGATCTGAAAAGTTAACTGCCTGACCTGCTGCGGGTTCCCAACAACTTCTGTTTTTATTCCAAACATATGTTTTTTATTGGACTCCAGGAATGCAGCTTATTGGAGGGAAAGCAAAGCCAATAATTATAATAATCTGTGCATTCGATACAGTGCAGATCATGTCATCAAAATACCTCAAAATGCTTCACAGAATTTTACTGTGTATTTGTAATTGAATGCAGTAGCCAATTTTCACCTCGCAACATACTCTTGAACAGGCACAACAACACTTTGCATTTATATAACATCTTTGTCATAGAGTAACATCTCAAAGAAATTTATTGAGATGGTGCTAGACATCGAGCGGGAAGAGTGGGGAAGGGCTGAGGTCCCTGTAAGCATGGTCAAAGAGGTAGATTTTCAAGAAGCTTCTAAAGACAGATAGAGAGTGAGATGGAAAGATTTAAGGGGAGAGTTCCAAAGACTAAGACAAAGTAGCTGAAGTTTAATGGTGGGGTAGGGAATATGCAATAGAGGGATGAGCAGGAGAAAGCTACAGAGATGGGAATGGGCAAGGGCATGTAGGGATCTGTAGGTGAGACTGAGGATCTTGAAGTAATTCTAGTGGCAGACAGTGAAGCCTGACAAGTTTGGAATAAAGAGCAAGTGAAGCTCAGTGCAGGTGAGGATGCGAGTGGCCAAATTTTGGATGAACTGTGGAGCATCATACGTTTGGATAGTTAGGCAGCTTGCTGCAATCTTTTAAAAATAGGCACCACTGTGTTAATTCTCATTGACTCCCAATCTGATTTCAAATTTGTGTCAAGTCTATTTTCAGACTTAAAGTAATCCAGTCAGGGCAAGCCCCTCTCTATCTCTATTTGATAAGAATCTTCTAGATCTTCTGTCAAAGGACATTTTATTGAACTCCAATTGAGTTCCCTAAAGAATGTGCTCCCTCCAGCAATCATAGATTGTTCTTATATCTGAAGCCTTTATCGTTACAATACTCCGCACTACTCTCATTGATTAATTCAAAATACCCTCAAAGAAATAACCAGAGCCGTAGTACAGATTATTAATCACAATTAATAGTCACATTGCCAGTTAAAAGATATAGCAAAAGTTATGGTAGGATTCATATAGCGGTTGTGATTATTAATATTCTGTACCCAGTGCAAAGCATTTCCCACTGTTCATTTTCCACCATCTGGTGAAGACATAATATAAATTGAGATTGCTATAAAAGTGCTACTGCTTCCTATATGAGAGGAGATATACTTAATTTGCTTCATTCCATAGATGGGTATCTAATGTTTACAGTGCAGCTGTCCTAACCTGCAGCAAATTAACTTGGAGACCTGAGGAAATCACAACTTCATTTTGCTTGACTCTGGCCAAGTTAGCTCATCATGCAGCCAGAGCTGTCACACTGCAAAAACTGCTTAATAAAATGCGTTACTGAATACTTAACCAACCTATATAGGTTATTTAAACTTCCCGTTAATAGCATATACTCCATATGGTTGCTTTGCCCCAAACAAACGCCTTCATTCAAGTAATCTGGTGCAGGCAGATTCAGATTTTTTTCGTTTTACATGGTGAAATATTATTGTATTGGTGTTTTCTGAATATGTTCTTTGATTAAAATGCATAAATTGAAACAAATGTTGCTCATCCTAGGATCATGTCAATTTACAGCCATTCTGTTGAATTTCAGCCTACCACTCCTGTGCTGGCTTTCTGAAACGGCTGTCTGCTTAGTCCCAATCTTTTCCCTGTACCCTTTTATATTTACCTTTTTTTTCAAACATTTATTAAATAGCTGATATGGATCTGACCTCAGTCAGTGTTCCGGGTAGGTTCCCCATACGAATGATTTTCTGTGGAAAACAATTTCTCCTAACCTCTGTTACCTTTGTTCTTTTGGCAGGTAACCTGAATTTATGCCCTTCAGGTAATTGACTCGGTATCCTGGAAAAATAGTTTCCTCCTGTTTGTTGTATATTTAAAATCTCTCTTTTTAGCAATGTAATTTTTTTTAAATTGGGCAGACAGCATTTATAAAATGTTTCTGTAATTATTCAGTTCTAACTTACTCTCTTCACCCACTCCTACTTTCTTCAAGTGGCAAGCTGCTTTAAGGTTCACTGAGACCAAAAATGTAAGAATTATTTTTGCAGATAAAGATTTTATCTTTCAAAACCTTTTGTGCACATACTTCCTTGAAATAGGAGGGAACGTTTACAATGAATCAAACTGAATGTGTGATGAATCGGTTAAGAGCTTTGCTGAGTACAATACAGTCCATAAATCAAGAACAGGCCAGTTTTTTTTATCTCACACACTGAATGAGTCATGAAATACTGATGTTATGGTTGACAANTTTTTACTAAAAAGACAGCATAGCAAAAGCATTAGTAATCAGGGGTGGGAACCACACTTGGAGGTGTTAATGTCAGAATTCCACACAGGACCCTCAAAATGGAAAGGGATTTTCTTGGTACATTTTATGTTCATCAAATTGAAGCATATGAGTGGAGAAGGTGACTTAACAATATGTACATGTTTTCTCTTGTTCAAACAGCATTAAACTTTTGTTGTCAATTTGTGCATTACCTATATTTCCTAAATTTGGTCCCAAAATTTGTTTGAATGCTTTTTATTAGAGAAGAATAATGCAATAGCTGCATTAACTACATGGTTACAGATTGAATTCATATGTTTTATAATCCTGTTTAGAATAATATCTTACTAAAGGAACAATAAATTCTGCATTACAGGGCAATCGGGGTTTATGTTATTACTAGGCCGCAAGGTTTAATAGCATCGCTATTATAAATTGTTTTTCTACAGCAAAGCAAACGGCGCACTGGAGATTTGCACAATCAGGCATCAATTCACTCAAAGTCCCAACATGGGGCCTTAAACCCACAACCTTCCAACACAAAGACAAGAGCACTACATGAAGTCAGGTTGACACACGCAGAATTAGGACAGAGGATGTTCTAAATTAGACAACTATAAATTACACCGGGTGATTATCAGAAGTTTTGATGTAATCCTACTCCCTTCCTTAGAAAGATATAATATTTATATAATTAACACTCCAATGCTCCAATGTGTGGTCACTAGCACAAATACAGTACTGTAAGCCATTCGAAAGCTGCAAAGGCTCTGCAGGTTTCAAGTCTGCAATACGCAGGTAAGTTCGATACAAAATATTCAGTCACTTCTGACTGGTGCTGTTTGATGTTGACAATAAAGCTCTGCGGTGAATCACAAGATTTATTCAATTTATTTTTTAAACAGTGACATTTGATAGCAGTTGAATAAAAACACACAAAATATATGCTCAAAATTCAGACAAGTAGTTTGTATCGGTATAGTTTCCCACATAGGCACAAACATTAAGCGCTCTGAGATGCCGTCCGGCGTTGAGGGCGCTATATAAATCCAAGTCATTGTTGTTGTTGATTGCAGTTGTGCTGCAACATAACGCATGTAATTTTGCCCATTTTTCTGAATGACACAT